CTTTCGCCATGAATCTACTACAAGAGAACAAGGAAATTAAGCAACAGAACAAAGAAAGTAATGACTGATAATCTTGTTCAAAAAAAAGATGATAAAAGAGAAAACAAACAGGTAAATAGATTATAGGTGGAGTAATTAAATTAAAGGTGCACAAAACTTGGAGCATAAGAGCACACAAGTGGGAAACAGTTTTCGATTGCAGATGTTCCTTCGACTCCGAGATGGGCTTCTTTCAAGGTTCCATCCGCTCCAACGATATAAGGTACGTTGCGAGTGTGATTGTCCATATTTTCTTTGTCCTTATCGAAAACTAGGGCGACTTTCTTGTCCTCGTCGATGAAGAAACTCGCAGCACTTTTGAGAAACTGAAAACCAAAGCAAGTGAGTGGTCCCATATTCACGGACAAGAAGACCTTGGTGTTACAGGACACGGCGTTGGGCTCAATTTTCGTTGTAACCCATATCTCCAAGTGTAATGTATCCCATTGCTGAAATAAAACGGCAAGCTGCTCTTCTCTAACACTAGATAGAGTGACGGTATCTTCAGCATCAGGCACAAAGGGGAGAGGCAAACGCGGCCCAAAACTCTCTCTTGCGAAATCAAAACAGACTAAGAAAGTCTCGTCAAATTCTCTTGTTGGTGAATACCTTTCTCTAGCAAACCAGTAGGTATTTCCCCTGAGAGAGACACCACGACTATGATAACGTATCTGCCGGTCTGAAAATACATCATCATCAAGAACCCTCCAAGAATCAGAGTTGAAGTCGTAGATTTTGAGCTCGACAAAAGCGGGCTTAGGAAAATCAATAAATCTCAAGATTTTGGTGCTCTTGTCGTATCCGAGAGCATAGACATACCTATCCAGCCTGTGGAAATTATGAGTGGGCTCGATACACCTGATTTGTCCCACATACGGGTTCCAAACGACAAGCCTAGTGTTGTCTTTGGAGATGCATAACAATAAACCATCGCAATGAAAGACTTGACATACATACATCGATTTGATCTGAATCGCCTAAGCTAATAAGTTTACTACCTTGACTATTCATACATGATTCAACCTTGTTCTTGTGAAGATTGACGCTCATCAAATAAACCCTAAAATCCACCATCATTGCCACCATAAACTCCCTTCCTGCTGCTACTTTTGCTTGATGAAGGTGCCTCCTTGCAAAGGACGCAGCTTTGGATGATCTGTTCCACTTTTTGCAAGTTGATCGGACTTTTCTAATAGATGTCAACGGAATTCTATAGAGCACCTCCTCCACCAAATCCCTTGGAAGATTCGATGTCTTCGTCATTGTTTCAAGGATCGATGCACCGCAAAGGAATTCCTTTTTTCTTTTGTGATTGCAGATTTCTCTGGATACTGAAGACGCAGAAAAAGTAATGGTGATTTGATGACGACCCGACCGAACAATAAGGACCAAAAAGCTCAATCGGGTCCGACAATAAGGACTGGGCAAATAAATTACCCGAACCGGTTTTTTCAACCTATCCGATGGATCCCTAATTGGGACCGGAAAAGATTTTGGACAGAACTGAGAACCGAGAAGAACTGACAACTGAGAAACTTGAACGATAAAACTCTCACAGTTTCTATTAAAAATAATAATATATCTATTACAAATCACCTACGATCTATATATGGTTGAAAATCACTAATTGAAAATCTAGCCCGATTGGCATCATGGCCCTGAAGGCTCTACACGTTTTTACAGTCTTCAAAAAATTTTATCCAATCAAATTTTTTTGGCTATATTATATTTTGAAATCTCTAAAATCATTTTTTTTTTCTTTCTATAACTCTCTCTTCTTTTTTAAGTCACAATTATCATACTTTCATTTTCTCTCTTTACATAAAAGTTTGTAGGTTTTTTTTCCTTAACTATTACTCCCTCCGTTACCTGGGATTTCTTTACAAAACAATAGGTAGTTTAGCTTAGCTTTTTGTCATTTCCCTAATTGACATTTAATTCTTTGTTACGCAACCAAATTTCTCAATATTTTTTTGTATTTCTTTGAAGTGTATCTCCATTAATAGATGGATTTTATTGGGTTTAGAAGCAAAACAAAATATCGAAGAAGTGGTCAAGACAACTTTTACTCAACAACACACAAGATCAGTAGCTTACATTCTAAATATTGAGACCAAAACCATTCAAATTACACAGACAATGCACACCAATCCAGATAAAAGAAACCACTACAAAAAAATGTGTGTATTGCATCAATTAACTAGTATCACAAAATTGAACGATACTATTTTAAATTATTTATTAATAAATGATACAAAATTTGTTGTCTAACCTCACTTATATTAATTGATGTTATTATTGATTAATTTAACATCGATTTAACAAAACTGATACAAATTTTTATTAGTTTACATCATTTCAACAAAAATTGATATAAAAATATGGATTTATATCAATTTAATAATTGATGCATTTGCTAATTTGTGTTAACATCACTAAACAAATTACTAAACAAATGATTCAAATTTCACATCACTAAAAATTGATACTAATAAAATTATAATTATAATTATTTAATCATTTTACATCGGTTAGATTAAAGTGATGTTATTTCATATTAATTATTGATGCAAGTTGATAAAGTTAAATTGTCCCACATCGACAATTGGAGAATGATTGAAAAAAAAAATCCTTATATGCCTGTAACGAAGGAACCTTCCCACTGCATTCGCCGTGTACATGCCACCGCAGACTCCATCGGGGACAATCTTTCTCCGACGACCCGGAAGATAATCCGGATATTTTCTCACGTCATCCTCCTCGCTCTCGCTGCTGTCGCTAGGAGGAGCGTCGTCATCATCGGGGTCAGGTGCTTCTTCTTCTCCACCGAGAAAGAAATTCCAAGTAGTGCACCAGTGCTAATCCGTCGTGAAAATCGACCATGTGGTGAGTCCGGCAGCAGAATTCGCCGCCGGCAGGAAAAGTGTGCCGAGCAATAGTCACACTAATATCATCATCGCCGGGCTGTAACAATTTAAAGACAAATTCACAAGTTAATCTAAAGAGTCGGTTTTTTATTATTAATACAAAATATTAGAATCATAATTTTCAAAATCACTCATAAAAATGATGTAATTTTAGTTGTTTCAATAAGAAAATAATGTAAACTAATAAAATAAATGATAAAATCCGTCTCTTTTTGTAGTGAACGTTCATGGTTTTTTATTAGCAAAGAATAGTACAATTGAAAGGAAAATTGTTGCAAAATGTCTGAGTTTGTTACAAAAGAATCATAAGGTTGAACCAAACACCAACCTCCTTGACCAAAAAGACAGATATTCTAAAGGTAATATATCTTTCACAAAAAAACCTATGTAGGTTAGTTTTAGACATATTTGGAGATGTGAAGAGGATACGGTTTCTAAGCAATAGTCAAGCTTATTCCTTTCTTGACTCACCAACCAAAACCTGTTACAAAATTAGAATAAAACTCAACAAGTCAGTAACTAATCCAACAATGTCAAAGCGAGATATAAATATGACTATGGCCACTAAGTGCCAAATCATTTAAACGACAAACGCGCGAGAGAAAATTAAAAAGACTTGTGCTTCATGTCATTTAAAGGCATTAGAGCGAATCAACATTATCAGATGTAAATGCAGTAGAGATAGTGACTCGCTTCACAAACATAAAGCATGCATATCTCAATTACTCAACTCGTAACAACGAAAAAACGACGAGTTTCTTCAACTTTGAACACATAAATTGATCAAATTAAAGTAAAATGTAGCGATGGAGAGTATCAAATTTACGAGCAAGAATCCAATGTTTTGGACGATGATGATGAT